TATTCATTCCGCATTTTGTCTCTAAGTGTCAAGCCACTCATCCACCTAATCATTCTCATCTCGGCAACACTTAACTTAGTATCATGTTTCTCTTTTAAAGGCCAACATTCAGCGCCATAGAGCATTGCAGGTCTCACCACCGTCTTATAAAATATTCCTTCCAGTCTAAGCGGTAAGATATAGAAAACAATATAATATCTTATAATATCTTTCACAAAAAGATACAGATATACTCAAAAAATTTAAACATGCAGAAAACAAGTAGCTAGGGACGAGCCAGTTTAGTCTTGTCTCCAGTTTAGTCTGTCTTGTCTCTTTCTCTAGTTTTAGGAGCGGAGCCAGATAACAAATTTTGAAGTGTCGTGTCATTGTCAGGAGTAACCAAAGTATCATCTATTAAGTTTCCAAGTTTGAGTGTGTCGTCAGCCTTCTTCTTCTGTCAAGAAGTGTAAATCTGACATTCTTCATCTGAAGACTGACTCATGTGATCCTCGGTCTGATTAGATATTAGAACCGCAATAGAAGAAAAGACAGTCATTGTCACAGCGATAGGTTCCAGTGTATGTGAAGTGTGAATTGTCACCTCTACACATGATGCTTTCTGAATAGAAACTGCGGGGCTATCCTGACTTTTCCCTTATAGTATGGTCAGAAGAAGGGTCTGAACATCATTTCCTGTCTTGTGGTAACTATCTTCTCAGGTTGGTTGTCATCAGGTTTGTTGGAAGGGCGTTCAGACACGTAGGGTGCACTAACAGCATGTTTCTGCTTTTGACTATTGATTCTCAACTGTGGGTGCAATTTGAAACATTTCTCTTGCGGGTGTCCAAACATTTTACAGTGCTTGTATTAGTAAGGCTTTTGTTCCATAATGATTTTTTTGTCAATAATCATTGTGTGCAAAGCCAAGCCAGACTTCTTCTACATCTGATAGTGTAATATCTCTTTCAATCAAAATCCTTGCAATAAATAGTCTTGAGAAATGAATTGTAGATGTGTCTACCTACAATTGTTTTTCAAGGATAATATCAATTGCATATAAGATAGGTAGGTCAAAGAATTGAAGCTTGAGTTCAGGTAATGAGAACCATATAGGCGTAATTGAGGGTTCTTGACTGAGATCAAAATCAGGGGTCAATTTGAGCAATTTCATATGATTTCCCTCGATTGTAATGAATTTCTTTGAGAAAATTCTTGTGTAATCTTCTTCTATACTCAGTTGTATAATAGTATGTCTTCCGTCAAAAAGACTCACATGTCAAGCCCCAACTACTTTGAAATCTTCAAAAACCTTCCTGATAATCTTCATCTTAAGGTGATCTAATTGAAACTTTTCAACTAGTAAAAATTTGTATTTTTCTGCAATTGAAACTTTCCAACTAGTAAAAATTTGTATTTTTCTGCAAGAGTTGAAATTTCAGCATCAGAGAAGAATAGTGTTGATTTGTCTGTCTTTTTCTCTACTTTTTTGATGAGATTGCAATCTCCATGTCCTACAACAGAATTATGGTACATTTGCAGGAACATCGGACTATCTACAAGGTGGAAAGAGGAGCCGCATTTATGAACCAATGTAGCATCGGAGGGTTTGCCGTGATTATCATCGGCGAGAGCGGCGGCGTAGTAAAGCCCTGAGGCCATTAGAGTGCTTCACAAAAGAACAACAGGAACAACTAGCGCAGTTTGCCGACTGCCGCCGACGAACGCGTCATCGTCGAACAGAAACCCGAACCGAAGTTGTTCAACAGGGAAACTGCGCAGACGAGAATAGCTGGACCAGTTGGAAGTCATCGTCGAAATCGAAGGCACAAACGCGAACGCGTCGTCGTTGAAATCGACAGACGCAGACGAACCGTCGGCGTCAAAGAAGGACGCGAGCCGACGAAGCAGAAAGCGAGAGGAAGCGGAAAGTCTACGATAGATATGGAGTGTCCTTCGAGCGACAGAATCAATCGCAACTAAAATCGCCATTTAAAACCCTAGCAGAGCTCTCTTCAACCATTCGAAACAACTTGTTTCACATGTAGGGTACATATCCCTCTTAATTTACAAACATTCCAAATAAATCTAATCTAAATTTGGAAAGGAAATAATTCTGAAATAAAAATAACAAAAAATATAAATAGAAAGAGAATAAAATTAATCAAGTAGTTTCCAAAATTATCTCTCAATTCAATCTTGCATGACAGGTGGTGCCCGGTCGGCCCGCCCAATGAAGCGATCAATTACTTCCTTATTTTTCACACTTCCCCTCAAGCTAGGTCATAAATGTTGTAAAAACCAAGCTTGGTATTGATCTTTAAGAAGGAACTCGAAAGAAGAGCTTTGGTGAAGGCATCAACATGTTGGCATGTCGAGATGTACTTAGTTGTATAATTCCACCATTAACCTTTTTCAGAAATGAAGTGTCTATCAACTTCAATATGCTTGCTCCCGTCATGATGCACATAATTCTTTGCAATATTGATAGATGCTTGACTGTCACAAAATATATGTATAAACCTATTGGAGGTATACCTCAATTCCCTTAATATCTTTTTAATCAAGATCCCCTCAAAGATTCACAAGGCGAGTGTCATATACTCTAATTTTGTACTGCTTCTAAAAACTATAAATTATTTCTTCTCCATGTAACCAGATTTTTTACATAAAAGCAATAACCTATGGTAGATCATCTTTCGGTGAGTTCCCCAGCCCAACTTGCATCAGTGTAGACTTCTACCTCTCAATATCTGACCTCACATGAGACATGTAGATGAAGTTTCCTACCAAACTTTGATATCTTCCCTTATCTATAAATACACTTTCTTCTCCCCTATTAGACTTATGGATGTGCTCCATTGGAGTATCTGCAGACTTGCATCCAATCATCCTTGTCTCCTTTAATAGATCTAGGGTGCATTTCTTCTGGATATAATGATGTTTTTCTTGAACCTTGTTACCTCCATACCTAAAAAATATCACTTGTTCCTAGGTCCTTAATTTCAAACTCAGAGGCAAATACTTATATACTATCAGTGCAGCAATCTTACCTCCTTGAGTGAGTTTTAAGAATATTATGATCAGCTTGATCTTGAGAATATCCATTATAACTATTAGAAAACCTTTTAAATCACGCTCTTGGTGATTGCTTAAGCCCATAAAGAAACTTACTAAGTTTGCATGCAAAATGTTTGTTTGAATCATTCTCAAGTCTTGATGGTATCTTCATATATACTTCTTCCAGATCCCCATTCACAAAGACATTTTTAATGTTAAGTGGATGCAGTCCCATTCCTTGTTAACAAATACTAAAAGGAGAACCAGTGGTTAGTTTGGTAAACTGATATAACATCTCCTAATAGTCAATTCCATAAACTTGATTGAATCTTTTGCACAACTTTGGCCTTAAATCACTCAATACCTCCATCAATTTTGAATTTGTTTTCAAGAACTTCATGAATAAAACTTAGAAACTAAAGTATTGTAGCATAAGGATAGCTTCTCATACCTTACATACTCATGAATCGAATATTTAATACAATAAAATGAGAATAGCATCTCATACCCTATATACTAATGAATTGAACATTTAATACAACTTTCCTTGTCACCCACATTGGAAGTCTAGGGGGATAACTCATTTGTACTAGACTCCTAACCCGAAATTTTAAGTGAATGTAAACTCAGGTTTTGTTTTGAGCAATTATTTCATTACAAATTGTCTTCCACCTGTTCAAGATTTTTCTTCCACCTTGTGTACACACGAAGTTCTTTATTATGGCCTTCAGGTTTGGTTGGTTAGACATCCATAACCAGGATAGGAGTGCTAGGTGGAGTAGGTAGTGAGGCAGTGTATGTATCAATAAGTGCAGCCCACAATTGATGCTCATTTATACTCTCTCCATGAACATCAGATTTAAATTAGTAGAATTGATCATATAAAATGTGGCATCAATGGAGTTGTACAATTTTCTGGCAACAAAAGATTAACAACTATATATTTTTTGGCGAAAAATACCCAAGAAAAATACAATTAATAAAATTAGGGTCAAGCTTTGTGTGATTTTGAGAATGGATATGAACAAAAGATGCACTCAAAAATTTTAAACGGTATAGTAGAAAAGAAAGTTTTGATGTGAGGATAGATAAGCATCAAAACATAAAGAGGTGCTTTGAAATTAAGTACTCTGCTAAGTATTTGATCGATAAGGTACATTGCAATAAGAACAGACTCCTCCCAAAATTATTTTGAAACTTGATGGGAAATCATAATAGAGCAGGATAGCTCAAGGAGATATCATTTATTTTCTCTCAGCTATCTCATTTTATTGTGAGATATTAAATATACGAATACACATGGATGATTCTATTTTTGAATGATAGGACCCCCAATGATGGAATTGAAATTATTAATTTGCATTATCAGTTTTGGACAATCTGATTTTTGTATATGAATTTAGTTTGAATCATGTCATTAAAGGTTTATATGAAGCCAAAAATTGAGTTTTAGCACTTGAAAAATGTACACGAAATTTTGCATCCCCCAAAATTCAATCAGATCAATTTTATAAAATTATACGCATCAAATCGATCAATTCGAAATATAACACAGTGCATGAATTTTGAGCATATAATAAGATAAAAAATTCGGAAGTTATAAGTTTAATTATATTAATTAAATCCTTAATCTCCAGCACACTCATTGTTCCAACATACCACACTTTTTTTCGACGTGTTATTCTAGTTCAATCAAACGACTGAGAGAAGAGGGAATCATGTTAAATTTCGCATCCTTCCACCCTCTCCCAATTCGGTTTCGCTCGCCTGTTGGATCCCGAGTTAAGCTGTGATCATGCACTGTAGCAGTCGTAACTTATGTGCATGACCGAGAGCGGCAGCTCTTGAATTAGCACTCTGGGGCGAAATCAAAAGGCATGAAACTCATTTTTGTGTTATTTAAGACATTTCTTTCTTTCGTTACACTTCTACTATGATGTATGCCACGAATTAGTGCATTTTTTTTGTTTCTGATAGCTGCAACGAAAATGAAATTGTGTCGGAAGAGACCAACTCAGTTTGTGGGCTTTGTAAAAGCTTTTAGCATGAAATCAGCAGGGTTAAGAGAGAATTAAAAGAATAGGAAGAAGAGGGAAAAAGGATATGAAGGATCAAAGAAGGGTTGTGGTTATTCCGAGAAACCAATTTGAGCATGATTTCGTACATAAGTTAAGTTTTGGGTTGAATCACAGGGTAAGCCAAAATTTTATGAAAGTCTAAATTGTCTACGATTTTCAGGTTGTTTATACGAGGTAGTGAGCTCAAGGGGAACAAGGGAGAACTCGTCACCCACTGTCAAGTTAGTAAAATAAACATGTGCTAACTTAAAAAAATAATAATTCGCTGCATGTTTCATGTGATTCTATGTTTGAGACTGTAGCATTTAAAATTTCTTGCATATTGTGAATTAATATCTACATTGAATGCATGAATGTAAATTGATTTCCCTTTTACGATACATTTGATTTTATTACATTATGAATCTGATGAATATGCTTATGAAATCATTGTTTGCATACATTCATTTACTATCATGCCTATGATATATAAAATGTCTGATAAATGTTGTACAGGATTTATATTTTAAAAAACGTCACAAGTGATGTTATCTACAAACTATTATATGAGTACTTGCAACTACAAATGATAGGAATGTAAGGATTCTGGACTTCTGGTATTCGGGCGAAGAAAAAACTACAGAAGTCGTTGGGATCAAACGGCGACGAAACATAAGGAACCGTTAGTACCAAGAGGACTACTAATAATTAGTACGTTAGGAGGTCAACATTTATCAATAGCCAATATAACATTTGAACTGGGTGAAAACCCAATGACATGATATGGAAAGAAAATAGTTAAGGCATTTACAATTACAAGCGATATTGTTATGATTAGATTGATAATTTTTATAAACATGCTTATGACTACACATTAATGAATGACATAAATATTTTATACAATAGTCATAATTTTCTATACTACATGTTTTTTTCTTTTATATGTTTTATACGATTCTAACATGTTATGACTTGTGTATGTACATGGACAGCTACATGTAAGCATGCACGTTGATTCTTTTACGTCTATAACAATCTTATTTTGCATTTATGCACTATTCATCACCTTTCCCAACTCTATCACCTGAAATTCACAAGACTTTGCAAGAAATTTAGTCATAAATTTCATATCTCTAGTAAGTTTTCTGATTGTAATCAAACTATAGTCCAAATGTGGAGCATAAAATAAAGAAAATAGAAATATCATGAGCTCCACATCTCTTTTTCAGCAATTTTTTAGTGTGATTCATCTACAAATCTAACTGATATCGATGTAGAAGCCTCTTAATAGTTGACTAGAGCATCAATGTCTCTGCTCATATGATCAGAAGCTCCTAAATCTATGATTCAACTTTTAAATCTCGCATTACTTGCAATGTGAGAGAAGGATATATTATTTTGGTGTGTGACGAGGTTGTTATGTTGTTTTGAATTACCTCCAATGAGTTTTTTTAAGAGTTCAGAAGTCGTCTCGACAGAATTCCTAGTCTCTGATTCAGGATTAACCTATGGAGTAAAAATTGGCGTATTCATCCCGTACTTGGTCATAAATCATGTGTAGTTAGGATTACTGTTAGTTACAGGAAGGGGTTGACTACTGCTTCTGCGGGTAGAGGAATGGTTGTTCCAAGAAAGAAGGAAAATTCTGGCGAAGAAGGTGCTTGGAGGGAGAATCCAATGGAGGAGGGTTTGCTACTAGGAAAATTCTAGCAATAGAAAATGAACATATGAGATCCTACAAGGAGGATTTCAGTGCCAGGAAAAAGAGGAAGGGCTCCGGAGGAGGGTCTACAGACTGAAGGGATTCTGATAGAGGAGGGCATGTAGCATGATTGTTTCCGACTGTATGGAGAGTCCTAGTGGTAGAGAAGAACAAAGGAGGGTCTGCAGTGAGAATTTCGGTTGAGGGTAGCAGGAAAATTCCTGTTGCAGGGAAGAGCCGAGAAAGGGCCTGCGCATAGAGAAATCTAGTTGAAAAGAAGCAAGGCAGAACAAGAGGAAGAAAGAAATGCAAGTTTCGAGTCTCTGCACGCCACAATCCCATTGTTGAAGAAAATGGGGGTTTTAGTTCTTTGTACGTCCAAATCCCGTCCTTGAAGGAAATGGGAGTTTCAGATCATTGTGCGCCGCAATCCATCAGTTGTTGGAAATCTCATACAAAGACAATCAATCGAGATGCAGAGGATTTGTACGAGACATAGAGGTCTTCGTTGGGTTATGTGACTCACTGGATGGGGTCGTCGAGACGGCAAGAAGATGAGGATCACATCGGGTTTGTAACTCCTTGGATGGAATCGTTGAAGCAATAAAAAGACGGGGATCGCGTCTACCCCACGAGCTACAATCATGATCGAAGCTGGAGACGTAGACATCGGGTTTGTAACTCCTTGGATGGAATCGTTGAGGCAATAAAAAGACGGGGATCGCGTCTACCCCATGAGCTACAATCATGATCGAAGCTGGAGACGTAGAGAGGCCACGACACGCCTTGACCTCCAAGATGAGCAGCGACTGTGACCATAATCGAGAACGAAAATGAAAAAGACTCTAGTGCTATGTTGCTTGGGAAGGAAAAATTACTTCACTTCATTATTCACATATAAGGTACATATATATAGGTAAACCAATCCCCCCTAATTTACAAAAATACCAAAGATATCTAATCTAATTTGGGAAAGAAAATAATTCTGAATTAAAAATAACAAAAAAAACATAAATAGGAAAAGCATAAACAAATAAAGGAGTATTTAAAGTTATTTCCAATTCAATATTCCATGATAGGGAGGTGGCCAACAGGCCCACCAAGGATGCAGTCTACTACTTCTTGATTTTCCACTGTTATAGAATGCAAGATAGCCCTAACAATTTAATCATTCACATGGTCAAAACTTTATTCAATCACAATTAATAGCTGCTACAGTCAACTCTTATAAACTCTATAGAAAGTAAAGGAACATATAGAACGTTCATTCAAGAACAATATGTTCGTAGTTATAGAAGAATCAACTAGTTGGTGAAGAATAGTGATAGTAATACCTTAATAGGTCAATAACAGGTTGCAGAGCACCAGCAGCGAGAACTTCCTTTTTTATGTTTGGGGATGAATGAACAAGGTTCCCAATAACTCCAACCTACAAACAGCGGAATTAAAATGGTTAGTAAGTTCTTCCATTAGTTTAGAATGAAAAAATGGAATCCACAATGCCAATCACCCTATAGAATAAGAGAACATTATGCAGTCAAATTGTGAAAGTAAAATGACTTTCAACATGCATGTACACATCCAAGCATGCATGCAATTTCCTTAACTAATTGTCTTATGCTGAAGCATACTATCTCGCCATGCGTCCATATTTTAAAATGTTTTCAAAAGTAGAATAACATGCTTAATGCCATTGTTTTTTTCTTGTCGGGATATCTCAAAAGAACTTTCGCTTGCACAACAAAAATAATCAATTGAACATTGATGATTATTCTCATACAAAAGTAAATCAATACTGCAGCATAATGGCAGCATATACATATCATAAATAAATGATGGAAATGATTCATAAATCATCAAAAGAAAGCTCATAAAAAAAACTTACAAGCGTAAAATAAAACTAAATATAAAATATACAGCAGATTGATAAAAAAAAGGTTTGAAATAAAAAAAAAGCCCTCAAGGGTCTATTCAATATTGCAATAGTATAGGCAATCAAGCATTTAAAAATGAAGTTTATGAAAGTAAAATTCGAACAAATATACTTCATAGATCTAAGTGTTGATCAACATTATAAAAAAAATCCCTTAATAGCCAATAAAGTGTAGGAGAAATTAAAATATTAAAATAAAAGTATATATAACTATAAAAGATAACCATAAAAGAATCGTGTCAAAAAGAATTGGCAGCATCACCGATAAAGTTAAAGCGGTCAAAAATACATGCTCTCTGTTTGTCATTATTATATTGTGATATGCTATGTTATACATTGTTAAGTTACAATTTTGATTAAAATAGATAACTATAGTAATCTTATGTTAATCGTCATTGGTTATGAAAATGTTGTGTTGCATGTATAAGCCGATTAAACGACTAAAATGGATATTAACATGAATATCATACAATTATAACATGACATCCCAATTTAATTTGTCAAATAAATAAAATAATTAATAATATTAATTAACTTGAAACAAAATACTTAAAGCAATTTTCTAAAAACCTACAAACAACGGACATTCTTATAAAGCCATTACCGAATGCCAGCTAATTAAAATCTAAATTGGGAATGATTGACATTCACAAACATTCAACTCTCTTTTTAGTATATGAAAGAATCTGAAAGTATGTTCCTACATACAAAGATTTTCTATTTTAAATAGAGATGTTGGACAACTAGTTCAAATCTCTTTTCCTTCGTCTATTTCATATTTTATTTTATGTTTCTAGTATCTTTTAATTATAATCAATGGCTAGATAGAGAACTTTGGTCATTTTGCTATAAAATCCACCCAAGTTTTAATCAAGGAGAAATAAAAACTTCAAATTTCCTCATATTCAACAGGGTGTTTTAGTCATTAAAATTCCATTAAGTTGAATACATTAACTTCCTTCACAAACAATTTTAAGCACAAAATCTTATCACATTTCACTATTCATTCATTATAAGATTCTCAAACAGATATCCTTATGCTAGTGAGTAGCACAATAATCTCCACACGTAAAAACATACAAAAGAAGACTAACTCCAGCAATTATTTACCCTATTTCACATTTTATTCAAAAACAATAAGTATAGCAAGAATTAGGACAAGTTGATTAAGTGATAATTGCCATAAAGGTTAATCTAACTGCTTTTATCTCAAATAATTGGAGGCCACAAGTCAGCTAGATGGAACCAACATGTCAATAAAAATACAAGGTTCACAACAATTAAGTTAAAGAACGAATTCTTAATGGATTTCAGCAGTACATAATACAATCAAATCACAGATGTGCATAACTTAAATTTCTTTTAAAAACTAGGTGGAATAGGCATACTAGAATAATAAATTAGACAAATTATGACAATAATACTCTCGCCAGCAGCTGAGGCTTTCCCACAGAACTGAAGTACCAGTAGTAACTTACCGCTTCATAATGAACAGCAGCATCATGAGAACGAAGCATAAGAATAAGTGTTGGAAGAGCATTGCATTCGACTATCTGAAAGTAAAAAAGTTCAATCTGATAGTTATAACAGCTGTCTTTATGTTTTAGCAATTTCTACGCATTGAAAAACCCCTTACTTGGTTCTTGTTCTCATCATTTTTGAAAGCTAATGTTCGCAAGGCTCCAGCAGCTGCTCTCTGCACCTTTGGATCTTCAGATTCTAGCAGTTCAACTAGAGGTGGAATGCCACCTTCAATTCTGAGTATAGAAGGAAAGGTGGACATATGCATCAAACTGTGAGAAGCGGTTTTGGAAGCTATAAATTAGACATTTTGAAGCATGCTGGACTACCTAACATGCTTCAAAATTCTAGCAGTTCAACTAGAGGTGGAATGCCACCTTCAATTCTGAGTATAGAAGGAAAGGTGGACATATGCATCAAACTGTGAGAAGCGGTTTTGGAAGCTATAAATTAGACATTTTGAAGCATGCTGGACTACCTAACAGAGGTTTTAATGGTGCTATTTTCATGAGCAAGATTTGTGATAGCATCAGCAGCCCTCCGTATAAGGCTACTAACAGCCCGTGTATGGAGGCCCCTCCTATGCCTTCCCAAGAGACCCACGAGAAGAGGTAAGGCACCAGCATCAACAATTAGTTGCTGATGCTCTGGCTGTAAGAAAAACAAAGGAATACTATAAAACTAGTAGAAAAATAAAAAATAAAAAATAAACCAATTCATAAAAAATGAACCTAAGAAATGCAACATTTTCATATATCATAAAGAGTCATTTGGCTATCCACATGCTATACTTTAAAGATCAAAAAGTAATGACAAGAATGATGCTTTTGTGAAGCATAAACAACTAATAAAAAAATATAAATGATCCAAAATTCAGGGAGCCTGTAAAAGGGAAATGGCTTTCCACCAGCCAATATCATTTAGGGAATTTATTAAAGCCTCCATCCACTGCATCCTATAGAAAATGACATTGCCTGTTATGTTTGATACAAAGGTCCCTTAGTTTATGTTTCTTTAAAAACATAGACAAATAAATCCACTATTTAATTACAATATAAATATCTCCTTTAACTATCTCCTATATTCTCCAATTGTAACCACCATTTGCCCTTGTTGGCATAGCGAGAGAGCTCATTCCAGTCGGAAAGCTCACACTGGAAATTATGCAACTAAGATTTTTTTTAACAATCTCACATCACTGGCGCTTAGCCTGCTTGCCAACAACCATGGGTAGAGCTTCGAGCCCATCAACAAGAGAAATTGGTGAGAAGTCTAATACAAGAGTAAACCCAAACAACAATTGAAAAGCCAAGTATTATTACTGCAAAGCCAATCAAGTGGTTATAACTCACACATTGAAAGGGATGTGCAAAAACAAAAATAAACCAACACAACCAAATGTATCCCAAGGGTGGTGAAAGTCAGCGAGGTGGGCTGGAATGGGTATGTTAGGGTGTTGGAAGGTGGCAAATTCAACAGGTAAGGTTTCTAGAAGGTGGATGTGTTGTGGAAAGGCCTGTCGGGGCCTGGAAGAGCAACAAAGAGACACGGGGGATGGGTCTGGGTGGCTGGAACAGCAAGGACAGCACGGAGAACGGTTGGGAGAGCAGCTATGTAGTGGTGGAGGGGGGAAAGAGCGGAAAAGCTGGGGTGACCGGAAACAGCAAGGGAGAGGGCTGGAATAGCCACACAGAGGGGAGCCGTATTCTAGAAGGTGTCAGCGAAGACGACTGCAGAAAAAACAACAACGACGGCTACAACAATGGAGGGCAATTGGGAGTGGATACAATCAGAGCACCAACCAAACCTCGAGGACCAACGATACAACCCTCAAAGGACTAGCAGTTGTTGTAAACAAACTCGCTCCAAAAAATATAATGTAAACCCTAATATAACACATATATAAGAAAAGACTAGAAAAGAATAAATAAAATGGAGGAAACTAGCTTAAAATTGGAAAGCAATTAAAAACTAAATGCTCGAATTAGCTCTGTTCAGTTAGCACGAACTGACGCACGTGTTCAATTTGGTTTCTGTAGCGACATTGTAGTTGTGATCGCAGAAAGAGGGCTCTCGGATAACTCCAGCGTCAGTCTCCAGGGGTTGGGGGAGCTTTCAACCACACCTATCGAAACTTCTATCTCCTCATAATAGTCAGGTCAAGCCCGTTGAAGGTGGCGATAACGTTGCAAGCTCCCGATAAGACAATCTTGTTAGCATTGTCATTCCAAAGCATATCCAAATAGAATAAATATTCGTCCATCTTTGGCACAACTAGAGATGGAAATGTATAATGACGTAGATTCTCACGAGCTAAATCCCAAGCAAGTAAATTTATAATATGTTTCCCCCACTCCTAGTACTCGAATGGATGTATATGAAAAACAAATTTGTTGGGAGAAATCGGCTCTAGGATGACATCTAAGGTAGGTCAAACCACACTGAAGTATAAACACTCATGAGAGACTTTTTTTCCTTGGTTGGACCTCGAACCCATCATAGAATTTTTTTCCCCACCAAGCTATTAACACAATTTTCAAATTTGTAGTTCATCTCTTCTGTCTGGTCATCTGTTGGTGGGTAAACAGTTGAACAAAATTTAAAATCCAAATAACTCCATATAATCTTCCATAAGTAGCACAAAAGAGCCTCATCTACGCCATATTGAACCTCCCTCAGTATGGGCAACTTATGAATGAGTCAATGAGTCTATATATCTGAAAAGCTTGAATTTTTTTATCTAGGGTTGACATGCCTTTGGTGTCAATTTTTCAAAATCAACGTCTTAGATACCACTGTTAAGTTGATTGAAATCTCTCATTGGAACTATGTGTCTCTTTCCC